TTGGAAACAGGGTTGGGGGGTGGCTTTTAACTTCTCTGGCTTCTTTTGTTCCTTCTCCTTCTCACCATCTCCCCCTTCCTCTCTTAAAAAAATGTGTCTCCTGTTGAAATGATTTGGAAGTCTCTTTGGGTTTCCTAGAAAGCAGGGCTGTGATGGGGAACTTGGCACAAGTGGTGTTTAGTGGGGAGCTCCCAGGAGAAACCTGAGACAGGGTTGGGGGGAGGTGGGCTCAGCCTGATTCCCCACAGAGCCCAGGAGTGTTAACTGCATCACAGAGCTTATCTTGTCAAGAGGCGATGGGACCCTTCTGTCATACCCCTACATAGGAGATCTTTAGCTGCGAGCCACCTCCAGAGGGCGGGATGGGATGCAGCACCTTCTGGGCATCCAGGGAGAGGCGGCCCTTCAGCCAGGGTGGTTCTGCCAGAACGGGGACAGCTGGGCATCACTGGCAACCAAGACCCCAGCTGCCAGCCATAGGTCAAGTGCACCCAGACACTGGCTAGTCTCCATGTACAACGTGCAGACGGATTATAAAGTTAGCAAAAGCGTAAGGGCAACCCCTCTGTCTGGCCAACAGATGGGACAGCCCTAGTCCCACTCATCAGCGATAGTAGGGTTGGCGCATGTGGGAGGATGGGCTGGATGAGTGCGTGTGGAAACACGGGGCTCTTGGCACCCCTTGAGCTGTGTGGAATGAAGGCAGCACTCTGTAGCTCTCGGCTTCTGGGCACTCAGACCACAAGAGGCTGTAATCAGCCCTCCTGGAGGCAGCACCATCCACAGGTCACAGCCCAGGCTCAATCCCCCAGTTACCCTGGCTGCCTGCCAGACCCACCTCCTCTCTGACAGCACAGTCCCAAGACTGATCCTAAGAGCTGCCACCCCGGGGGGCCTTGTCCTGGCTCTGGGGATGTCTGCAATGCCTCCCGGTGCCCTCTGGGGCTTTGGGAGGGCAGGCCAGACCCTGTGTGTCTGTCCTAGAACCTGCTGGACTCCAAATCCCTGAAGCTCATCATCAGTATGACCCTGCACGACCGCACCACCAAGTCCCTGCTGCACCTGCACAAGAAGAAGAAACCACCCAGCATCAGCGCCCAATTCCAGGTAGGCGGTCCAGCAGGGGCAGGAGGCGGCACTTAACCCAGCCTGACACTCACGTGGCTCGGCCAAAACAAACCCAGCACCGGGGTTCCTGACCTTGGCACTGCTTGACATTTGGGGTTGGGTTATCCTCCATGGTGGGGGCCTTCCTATGTGTTGTGGGGTGTTGAACAGCATCCCTGGCCTCCACCTACGAGATGCCAGTAGCATTCTCCAGTGGTGACAACCAAAATGTTTCCAGACATTGCCAGATGCCCCTGGGGGAACAGAATCGCCCTTAGTTGAGAACCACCATGTTAAAAGAAACTCGAGTTAAGCATGTGAGTTAATGTGACCACTGAACTGTGTCCTTAGGTCATATTTTCCCTTTTACCCTGGTTGCCAGGAAGCTCAGGGACACTTTTTTTCCTACTTTTTCAGTGGGGTCCGATGGCTGCTGATCCTCACCATTTTTTCTTTTGTTCTTTCCCATTTTCCTCAGTCTGCGTCTTCTGTTTCCACTTCAGCTTTTTTGTCATTACCTCATGTAGGAACTCCCACAGATCCTTTTTGGAAACAGCAGGCCAAAGACCAAAATCATTGATTCTGTGGCCCCTTCTGAGGCTGACACATGTTTTAAGTCCCTAGAAAGAATTTATCTAGTTCCACCACCTTCTCCTCACCTTTCACTTAAAACAGAAAGAAGAGCTGGGTGACCTGGGAGGATGGCGGCTCTCAGCCACAGGGACCCTGGGGTAACACAGCCTCTGGTCGGAAGGTCCAGTTGCAACCTCCCATGTCCCACATCGACATAGACGCCCCCACCGCCGATGCAGGCGGATGACCTGGGTCCCCTCCCACTGAGGGGTGTGCCCCTGGGGGTCCCAGCTCAGCACCTTCCCTCTCTTTCCCCAGACATCCCTTAATAAGCTCCTGGAGGCACTGGGGAAGGCAGAGCCCTTCTTCATCCGCTGCATCCGCTCCAATGCTGAGAAGGTGAGAGGCTCCCACATCTCCTGAGGGGTGAACACCAAGCCGGGATCTGGTGACTTAGTGCTGGGTGTTCCTGTGTGTCTCAGTGCAAAGGGGGGAGGGTTGGTTAGGAGAGTCCTCAAGGAGCCAAGTATTCACACAGGTTTCGGGAACTAAACATGCTGTTGCCAGCTGGGAGTGGAGGAGTGTCAATAGGAGGCAGCAAGGGTGGCCTGGTGACCAGCCAAGGGCAGGGACATCATCTGGAATATGGAGAGGCCCCAGAGAAAGTTTGCTCAAGGAAGAGCAGGTCAGGGATGCTCTTTAGATACATCTCAGAAGCAGCCAGTGCAGAGAGGGGGCTGGAAGGAAGAGGCTGACATCGGGCAACAGGAGCACAGAGCCTGCTGCTCATCCTTAAGTTTCTGGAAAGACTCATGGACCCCCAGTGGGGGCCGCCAGCGCCTCTCAGCCCTTACTGCCAGGCTTCCTTCACCCCAGGGGTCCACCAGCCATTCCATCTTCTCCGGGACCTTGTTGGGGACCATTTGGAGTCTGGGCTCCCTCCTGGACACAAGTGGATCTCTGGGCACGAGCCTCCTGGAGACGCTGTTCACTCACGCTCTGTCTCTACTCTTCCTGTTTCCCTGGCTTGTCCCTGCTCCCAGGACACACTGCTAACATGCCAAGCCTGGCTCGTCCCTGCCAGGTGCCACGGCTTCCGTCCTCCCGGGCGAGGACCTGGACTTGTGCTATCTCCTCCTCTCCCTTCCCGTTCCTGGCCCCTCAGTGGTGTCTCAGAGAAGGTGTCTGTCATCCCGCACCTTCCTCCCACAGCAGAATCGGGCTCCCTTCTCCCGTTAGGATTCTTACTTCAGCTTTGGGCAGTTCAGGAACACTCCATAGACACCTGCTTTGAGCAGGGGCCATGCCTGCAGATCGTTCTTTGCTCTGGGGAGGCTGTCCTATGCTTTTTAGAGTACTGAGTAGCATCCTTGGTCTCCAAGAGCCCACCAGATGCCAGAAGCATCCCACCCCGCCCCATCGTGACAACCCTCCCCTCATGCCATTCCCTCCCCTCCATCCACTTCAAATAACAGCTGCCGGTGTTGAGTGCAGGCTCCTGAGCTCTGGACTCGAAGCCCTGAGTCAGCCTCGTTTCAGCCCCTCCTCCCCCTTGCCCCTACGCCTCCAGCAGCAAGCATCTCCCTGCGTCCCTGCCCACCCCTCAGCTTCCCCTTCCCTCTTCTGGGCATTCACTCGGCTGCTCCCTTCCCAGCCTCTCGTCAGCCTTCAGATCTAGCCCAGGGTCCCCTCTCCTGTGACCCCTCCCATGGCGGCCTGGTAGTGTGTTCTCTCTGCGAATCCCTAGTACTTACTCTGATAACCTGGTGCAGAGCGTGAGTTCAGCACAGGTTTGGGTCGGAGCCTTTAGAAGATAAGTCTTTGCAGCATATTATCCTAAGTTAGGCAGTAGGAAGTGGCATCTGTCTCCTGGGCACCAGGGAATAGAGCAGATCAGACACCAAGTTTTCTTGAAGAGATTTATGCCTTAGGCATGACTGCTGAGTGGCCCCACCTTTCTTCCAAAAAGAATGTCTGGAGCAAGGGGAAAAAAACAGATCCTCCAGGTGCCCATGGCTGCCATGCTGGCGACCCATGCTGGGATGTTCCCAGAGAAGCCTGGGGCCCCAGTGTGTACCCTGACTGCCTCCATACCTGGAATCCCAAGGGACCGCAGTCACTTGGGAATCAGTACCTCCCGCCAGGGCTCCCCATCCCCAGCCACCTGCAGGCATCTGCCCTGATCGTTCAATCCTGTTTCAGAAAGAGCTGTGCTTCAATGACGAGCTGGTGCTGCAGCAGCTGCGCTACACAGGCATGCTGGAGACCGTGCGGATCCGGAGGTCGGGCTATAGCGCCAAGTACACGTTCCAGGTAGGATGCACTCATGCACACTCGTGGCTGCTCAGGATGCTGACCACCTCCAGAGAGAGCACCTCTCTGGAGCATGAGCCCAGCTCATGAAAGGTTACTTTCCGCCAGGGTTTCTCCATCCTGGCACTGTTGGCATTTGCACCAGATCATTCTTTCTCATGGTGGGGTGCCCGATTCCTCTTAAGACGTGTGTGACACCAAGCAGGGAAGAGGGAACTGCACAAGCCAATCCCTGTGCCTCTCTGCCCTTTATCGCACATCTTCTTTAGTAGACGCTTTTATACCCAGCTCTTTTATTCTACCAACCAGCAGCAGGGGGGCCCTGGTTCCTATTTTCCCAGTGTGGAAACTGAGGCCCAAGGAGGTGATGACTTCAGAGATGGCTCCCTAGGCTTTCTAGAAACACAGAGGACCATTCATAACCTCAAATTGGTAAAGACCAAATTACAGCAGTCACCGTTGACACTTAAGACTGGGTCATTCTCTGTGGTGAGGGCTGCCCTACACACCATGGGGTGTTGAGCAGCATCCCCAGCTTCCACCCACAAGATGCCAGGGACACTGTTCCCCCGAGTTATGACAACCCAAGATGTCTCCACGTATCACCAAACGTCCCCAGGGATCAGCACGGCCCAGGTCAAGAACCCCTGGCTTGTGCCAGGAGCTGGCCCCAGCCGTGTGGTGCTCAAGTGAGCACTGGGCCTGAACCCAGAGGTGGCAGCACCTGGTCCCTGTTCAGGCTTTATCCACATGGCCTCAGGGCCATGGCTTCATTGTGGCATGCCTCCCTTTTCTCATCCCCAGAATGGAAATACCACCTTTCTGATCCTGTGTAAATAGGAAAGGCAAATGACCGAAAAGGGGGAAATACTGGTCCATTTCACTAATGCTTGGCTCTTAAAAATCTGCATAATTCTTTACTTAAAAATGGCGTGCCTCCAGCTGTGGTTCAGCCCTCTGACAGTTCATAGCCCCTGGCCCCCAAGAGCATCTCCATCTCCTGGCTGCACCCCAGCAACACCAGCACCCAGCAGGCCCTCGATGGTCACTCCCTGACTGACTAAAAGATCTAGAACTCTGTGTCTGCGACAGTCTTTCTTAAGCTTTAGACTGTTTCAGAAAGTCCAGGATTTGTCAGTACCATTCCCAGCAAACGAAGTTTTGACTTTAGAAACAGCTTGACCAGGGAGTTGCTGGAGCCCCATCTCCTTGTCGGTGGCAGAAACACTCACTCGGATTCTCCTTTCTCGGCCAAAATCACCCAGGATTTCACAGAGCAGTTCCAGGTGCTGCTGCCCAAGAACACCCAGCCCTGCAGGGAGGTCATCTCTGCCCTGCTGGAAAAGATGGACATAGACAAGAGGAGCTACCAGATCGGCAAGACCAAGGTCAGCACTCGGGCCCCTCAGGGTGGCTGCCAACTTGGACCCCCACTTCCACTGCACCCATGGCCCAAGCCACTCGCTGAAAAATAAGTGGTTCTGCTGGGGAATGCCTTTCCTGGGGCATGTTCTTTCTTCCTGGAAGGCAGAGGAGCACACCTGAGGTGTGAGGGGCTCGGGCATCAGGCCTGTTTCTCGTTTTCTCGCATGTAGAAGGGACGATCACGCCATAGCACGGGGTGTTCAGGGGCCAGTCGGTAACCATTGCAGTGTCTGGAGCTCTGCACCAGGGCTTTACCTGATAGGAAAAGTCCCCTCGCAGCCCCTCAACAAGTTAATCATGAGTTACCACGTGACCTAGCAATTCCACGCCTAGGTATCGCCCCAAAAGAGCTTTGAAAACAGGTGCAAACACGTACATTCATAGCAGCACTAGTCATAATTGCCAAAAGGTAGAAACCACCCACGTATCCATCAACAGATGACGGATAAACAAAATGTGGGCCATTCATATGATGGAACATTACTCAGCCCTGATACATGTTTATATGGATGAACCTTGAAAACGTTACGCTGAGTGAAAGAAGCCAGACCCAAAGGGCACCTAGTGTGTGATCCCATCTAAATGAAATGTCCAGAGTGGGGAAATCCATAGAGACAGAAAGCAGATTAGGGGTTGCCAGGGGTTGGGAGATGGGGATTAGGAAGTGACTGCTAGTAGATTCGGAGTTTCCCTTGGAGTGATGGAAACATACCAGAGCTAGGTAGAGGTGATGGTTTCACAATGTTGTGGCTGTACTAAATGCCACTGAATTGTTCACTTTAAATAGTTAATTTTAGGTTATGGGAATTATATCTCAATATATATATTTAAAAAAAAAAAAGCTCCCCTTGGTCAGGCCAGTCAGCACGCCAGCTTGGCCTCACGTGCGCCCAGGGCGGGCTGGGCAGACCTCCTGAGTACAGGGGTCCTGGGGCCATGCTGACCTGCCTGCACGCTGCCACCAGGTTTTCCTGAAGGAGACAGAGCGGCAGGCCCTGCAGGAGACACTGCACCGGGAGGTGGTGCGCAAGATCCTGCTCCTGCAGAGCTGGTTCCGGATGGTGCTGGAGCGCAAGCACTTCCTGCAGATGAGGCGGGCAGCTGTCACCATCCAGGTACAGGGAGGGCCCCAAGGGGCCAGGGCTGGGGGTGGCTAGGGTCACACGTGCCCGGCCCCTGAATGCCCGCTCCACTCTCAGGCCTGCTGGCGGTCCTACCGCGTCCGCCGGACACTGGAGAGGACGCAGGCGGCAGTGTACCTCCAGGCCGCGTGGAGGGGCTACCAGCAGCGAGTAGCCTACCGGCGCCAGAGACAGAGCATCATCCGCCTGCAGAGCCTCTGCCGGGGTCACCTGCAGCGCAAGAGGTGAGCAGAACAGGGCCGAACTCCCTGCCCCCCAGAACACTGCCCCCACCTGAGAGCTGCCCGAGATACCATCCAGCCAGTGGAGCTGTCAGGATGTCACTCTGGACGCAGGGAGGCTGAGAAGGGGCCGGCAGACATCTCACCATCTGGGTGCATGGGACCCTAGAAAGACGATCAGGGCCAGTAGGCGGCACCTACTGCCAAAACCCCAAGTCGCCATTGGTGTCACTCAGTCTTTGCCAGGGACATTACCACCCCCTGCCGCCCCACTACACCTGCCCACGCTAGGCCAGTTGGTGGAGCACCTGGATTCAGAGCTGGAGGATTCCGGCCAATGGGACCAGCCCTCAGCAGGCTCCCCTCACCCCACACTCACACATGAAGCTTGGGCGTCCACCATACAAGGAGCCCCAAAGGAATTCAGGGGTTTCTTAACAGATCCCTCCCACAACAGACCCAATAAACCAGCCCGGCAGAGGTGGCTCTGACAACAGGAGGCCTCTCCCTGTATCCCCCTGCCCTGGCTGAGGAGGTGCCGCCTTTCCAGAAGCATCTCTGAGGGCTGGGGTCTCGCCTCTTGGCAGAGGTGGAGCCTTCCTTCACCCCCGCCCCCCACAGATGGCACAGGGGTCCCCAACACCCTAGGTGGATTCTGGCGGAGGCGCGCACTTTTGTTCCTGAACCCACCCCTTCTGCTTTCCTTATACCAGCTTCAGCCAGATGATGGCGGAGAAGCAGAAGGCTGCAGAGAAGGAGAGGG